TCCGCCTCTGCCCCTGCCCCTGCCCCTGCCTCTGGTCTCTGGTCTCTGGTTGTGGGCCACAAATTTAATTTCATTTGTCGAAATCAATTAAAATTCCTTTCAAAATGTATCACCTACAGAAACGGACGATTTACGATTTTCGACTTACGGAGAACTGAACCTCAAGCAATGTCCTTGTTTTGGATGCCGTTTGGACGCCGTCCTGTCGTCCCCGGATCGCAGGAGTGCATCAATTACTTGGCCAAAACTTCGACTCTATTCCAATGAAAAGTTTCTGTCGCCAGGCTGCTCGAGGCTCGAGGCTTCCCAAAGAACCAAAAGTTGAGGTAAGTTGTGTACTGAAGTTAAAAGTTTCTGTGTGCCACGCCATGCCACGCCACGCCACGCCGCAAAATGCAGTCCAAGGAGTGATACAGAGAGAGAGAGAGAGAGAGAGAGAGAGAGAGACAGGGCAGGGCAGGGCAGGGCAGGGCAGGGCAGGGCTGGCGTCTGCATGGATGGCATAGGACAAATATTTTTCAACAACTTTCCAATGTTTTCGGAAGGCAGGCAGCCAGGCAGAGCCGGGCATCGAATCCCCACTAAATTTACGTGTTTCGTTCAAGCCGAAATCAAAGAAATTCTGCCAGCGGAGTGGCAGCACTCGACAAAATTTGTGTCCCTTCTGGATGAGAAGAGAGTGGCACATCTTTTCTCCCAGTGCACAGAGAGAGAGTGCAGTTTGTTTTGCAAATTTGTTGGCCCTGTCGTGGGTTGCTCACCCACGCTCTCCATTTAACCATCGGTTCAGGCCAGGGCCAAAATCAGGTCTTCTGTCTGTCCCGAGCGGTTGTTTTGTGTTGTGTGTTGTGTTGCACTACTGATTTATCTGGTGAACGCGCCAAATGCGTGTAAACATGGGTCCTGGAGCCGCCACTCGATTTGGCCGCTGCAGCGCGCTGTGTGATGCTGCCCCAATAAGTAGGCAATGGATTTTTGCCCCAGCGGCATTCCACTCGATTGAGAATGTTTTGTGGCCGTGTGTGCGTGCGTGTGCGTGTGTGGGTGTACTCTCACTCTCCAGTATCTATCTCTCCATCTATGCACACCCGTACACCCCTCTAATGGCCACAAATTAAAGACTTTGTTCGGACAAAAGCTTAACTTTCATTAATCGCAGCAAATGTCAGCGCGCACAGATTTTCCGCAGAGAGGGAGAGGGGCAGGAGGGGCACGAGGGGCAGGGAGGGTGGAGTGTACTACAAACTATCAAAATAAATAACAGAACGTGACGGCCACGTAACGTGCCACATTCTCCGGCCCGACCCGGCCCGGCCCTCACTCGTGTTGCCACGCCACACAATTGGCACACACAAACGAAACTTTTCAGCCACGAAAATTGCACATAAAACTTAATTAGTTTTTTCTCTCTCTGTTGCGGGCCTGTTGGGGCCTGTTGTTTGTTGCTGCCGCCACTGTTTGTCTTTGTCTATGTATGGGCGAGCGGCTCCTCCCCTGCCTCCTGCCCTGCCTCCTGCCCTGCCTCCTCTGTGTGCGTGTGTGCTTCGTGCCGCTTGGTCATTTTTATCATTTGCACTTAATTAATTAAGTTGTAGCATTTTTATTGCCCAACAGCAACGAGAGCTACCAGCCGCTGGATGGAGGGGATGGCAGATAACTGCCACATACTCGTACACGCTTCATGGGGCGAACACACGTTCCGAAGAATGTCCTTAGGAAATACCGACTCCTAAAGAATTCCATCGCAGCGAGAGAGCAGAGATTGATTGGATTCTCTGGGTTCTCTGCGGTCTGGTTCCCGGTCTCCTGCGGCTCATCCTTTGGCTCATCCGTATCCAGGGTCCAGGTAGAATCCAATCCATAATTGGATTTGCCGAGTGGCAGACCAAACAGAGACAGGCACAAATATAGATGGATATAGAGGGATGCACGGCATGCGGCATGCGGCATGTAAGTAGATATAAAAAATTGATCAACTTAGGGACGCCATCGACTGTCGTTTATAAAGATTGCCGTAAGCATAAAAATTAATAGCCAGGAGATGCCTGGCGAAATGGAAAGGGAGCATGTTTTTCTCCATTTAAATGGGCATGGTGGGGCGGGAGGCGGCAGGCGGGCAAGAGCCTGTTGTCGACCTGGTCGTCTGCTTCAAGTACGTGTAATATCAATAAAATTAAGCCCAGACAAGGGGCCCAGAGTGAAAGCAGAGCGAGAGCCAGAGCCAGAGCCAGAGCCTTGCGTTGCGTTGCGTGCAATCATAAAAACGCGACAGAGCCAAACAATAAGCTGAAAGCCTCTTACATGTATCTTTATGCCCCATGCCTCCTGCCTCCTGCCTCGTGCTCTCACTCTGGCCGCCCGCCGCCGCCGCCGTGTCGCTTCTAATGCGACTTGAAAAGTCAACGACATCCGGGGCCCTGGAACAGCGGCACGAGGTGGGGTGTCGAGGAGGCCTAGAGAGGGAAAGGCTTCTAAATGCGGCGCGTCATTGTTTTGCCCTGAAGGAGCTTCAAGCTGAAATCCAACCCAGAACCTCGAACCCAGAGCCCAGAGCCCGCTCTGCCATGCTGCAAGTGCCAACGCAGTTGTAGTCCTGTCTTCGTCCGCTTACGTGGGATACACAGTGGGGCAAGTGCCAGCTAAACGGACGACTGCCACAGGATCACGGCACAAGTAATGGCAACATCCTCAAAGGATCTTAGGCCCCAGGGAGCCATCTACCTCCTGTTGTCCTTCGTACTTCTGCATTGAACGCCCAAGCACGATATGGAAATTCGTGCTTTTCCTTGCCCCAGAAATGGGTATTTATCGGGAGCATGTACTGATGAAAGTGATCTTTAATCGACACATCTCAGCCATGGATGAGGCACCACTGTAAGCCACTGGGAGCGCTGTTGCTGCTGCTGTTGCTGCTGCTGTTGCTGTTGTTGTTGTGGGGTGAAGTGCTGCTTAAATATGAAAAACTAACTCGCAGCTGCTTTCCACATTTTCCTGCACTTGACACTAAATTCACTTTGGCCAAGTAGGTGCTTCGTGCACTTGAGGCGCACTTTCGCTTGACAACCAGCAACCGGCGAACGCATCCTGGCTCCTGGCTCCTGGCTCCTGCCGCCTGCCTCCCTGCGACTGCCTGAGCTTCGGTGTGTGGTGCCGCTTGGAGGAGTGCTTCGGTTCGGTTGCACTGTTGCATGTGAGCATTGGGTGGCCCTCTTCAGGTCCTCCTCTCATCCAGCCAGGTGCACAATGTTGCAACGTACGTACGTACATACGTACATATATTTATTTTATTACTTAAATAAATTACAAAATGGTAGTCGGTTAACCAGAGCCAAAGCCAAAGCCAAAGCCAAATGGCCACCCAGGGCTGTCACACAGACACAGGCGCAGCACCAGAGCCAGAGCCAGAACCAGAACCATCCGCCACCGCCTTGCCCCTCGCCCTCGCCTGGCTGCATAGTTGAGGAGCTTAGCGCATAATATATTGTTGCCATAGTAGTAGCTGCAACAGCAAGAGGCAGGCAGCAGCAACAGCAGCCCCCAGCCCACGAAAGCCATTGCCATTCCAACAAAGGCAACAAAATGTTTGTTGGCCACTAACCGGCGACGATGATGGCTAAGGTACGGTAGGGTAAGGCCAGGCCAGGTGACGGCTGCTCTGGTTATGGGGGATAGGCGACTGCCAGCTGCAGAGCAGAGAGCAGAGCATGTGGCTAACGAATAGTCCTCAGTCCTGAATCCTCAGTCCTCAGTCCTCACTGGCTGGCAGGCTGCACATGGGCCATGGGGCTGGGGGAAGGGATAGCGCCACACGCAGTTCAAGTGTTGCATGAATGAAACTTCCGGATAAACTTTTGTTCGCCAAACATCCTTCAAACGTCATCCAACGGTTATGATTGTTCGAAACATCTATGGGATTTTCAGAGGTTCCCAAAACATTTAATACTTACCCTTAAGTTCTTATTTTTCTAGTATTTCTTTAAGCACTTCCTACACAATACATTTTAACAGTTAAACAATAATTTGTCTTGTATTTTTCCAGTATTTATCTGGTATTTTTTTAGTATTTCTTTTTAAATTTATCTACACAACAAATTCTTACCCTGAAACTGTCATATGTCTGGAATTTGTATAGTATTTTCTGGTATTTTCTAGTATTTTTGTAATAATACAGAATACGCTGCCTTCTATTTTCTGCTATTATTTCCATCACAATTTGCATGGTATTTTATTCTCTTCTAATAATAGTTAATAGTGCAGTATTTTGTGGTATTCCAATGGTTGCATCTAACGGCCTTAACTGTTTCCTAATCGCTTGAATATCTATTCACAATGTTACCCCCGCCTTTCCGGAATGAGACTTCATCATTCAATGCCTATTCCATATGGCTCCTTCATACTTACCCTTTGACCCATCCATCTCTCCAATTGTCCATCCTGCTATCGTTCCTTCCATCCATCCACACATGACAATCAAATAAAAGACTCTCTCTTTCGATTGGCTTTCAATTCTTACGTATATGTATTATCATTCTCAATTTCAATTTCAGTTTGTCTCTAAGTATTTACAAATGAACTCCGAATGGGTATTGGATGTGTTTCGGTTTGGTGTTTTGGGCAAAGTACGGGGCAAGGGGCACGTTGTACGTTGTACGTTGTACTGGGTACGGGGTACGGGGTACGCTACGGTATTCAATCCAAATTTCATCCTTCGGCTGATGCTCAAGTATAGGTATATTCTTGTATATCGTATGTATATATATATGGTATATATATGGTATTTGTATAATCATCGTTACCGTTATCGTTATCGTTATCGTTACAGTTATGTATTTGTATTTGTATATGTATATGTTACGCTTATGCTTGTGTATGTGTTGCAATATTGTTCAGTTAATTTCGTTGAAAGTTCTCCATTTGATTAGATGCCATCCGAAAAGAAACAGAAATACACGAGTACACAAGAAAAGAAGTGATCCGATCTGTCCCCGATCCGATCCGATCTATCCATAGTAGTTGCCCGGGGCCTGGGTGGGGTAGCTCTTGGGTCCCCCGGAGGAGGAGGATGCGTCGCTGGCAGATCCCCCACGGGAAGAGGGATTCTCGCTGAAGAGGCCGCCAAAGTTCTTCGAGCTGAAGATGTCGCCCAGGCCGCCTCCGCCTCCGCCGCCGCCGCCAGACTGGCCGCGATTGGAGTTGCCGCCGCCGTTGAGGAGGCTGCCCAGGAAGCTGCTGGCACCGCCCGAAGAGCCCCCGCCTGCATTGGCACCGCCGCCAGACAGTACGGAGCCGAGTAGGCCGCCCAGGATGTTGCTGCCGCCGCCGCCTCCAGATGAGCCGCCGCCAGAGGAGCCGCCGCCGTAGCCGCCGCTAGGCTGGTAGCCGCCATTGGAGCTGGCGCCACCGCCACCGCCACCTGCCCCGCCGGCACCTCCTCCTTGGAGCTGCTTGGCTATCTGGCCGGCAATGATGCCGGAAACCGCTTGACTCACCGCCGGGTTCGAGAAGAAGTTGGAGAAGAAGCCGCCCTGCTTGTCCTTGGGCTTTTGTCCTTGTCCGCCATCGCCGCCGTTGTTCTCGTAGCCAGGGGCCGGAGGGGTGTAGCCGGGTCTCGGCTGATAGCCGCCGGGCGCCGGCTGGTAGCCGCCGTTGCCGCCGTTGTAGGGGTTGTAGCCCCCACCGCCCTGCGGGGGCTGCTGGGGGTTGTAGCCGCCGTAGGGATTGTAGGGGGCAGCACCACCGCCACCATTGCCATTACCGCCACCGCCGGACTGGGGGAGACTGGGGTAGAGACTATGGCCGCCAGCCGAGAAGCCACCACCATATCCACCGCCACCACCGTTGCCATTGCCGTTGGAGCCGCCGCCGCCGCCGCCATTGTAGCCAGCGCCACCGGCCGAGTCCGCATCCGGCAGCGGGGCACTTGGCGGATTGGGGGCATAGGAGTTGTGGGTGCTGCCGCTCACCTCTGCAGCGGCATGGGCAGAGTGTGGCAGAGTGTGGCAGAGTGCAGTGGAAGCAAGCAGTACAAGCAGTTCAAGCAGTTCCAGTACGGGGGTTGGGTTAGCCACAAAACAAAGCGCAAAGCGAAATGAGATCGAAAGAAACAAAAAAATAAAAAACAAAAACACAAAAGAAAGAAAACACAAAAACGGATTAAGAACTGATCAAGGACTAAGCGGGGAGGATTAAAGAATTAGAGTGAGGGTGGGTCGGGGTCGGGGTCGGGGTCGTGGTAGGGGGGGGGGGGGGGGGGGGGAATGGGTCTTATGTTAGTTTAGCGTTTTTCTTAGAATATTAATTTTGCTCTTAGTCGCGCGTTTCCATTTTGTTGGATTTTGATTATATAATTGTATTGCAATCGGCTGTAATCGATTGAAGGTCTACACAACTTTGAGTTTGTCTGTAATCGGTTATCGGTTATCGTTTATCGGCTATCGGTTATCGCTTACTGTCTATATAAGTCTTCTTCTGCCATTGCCACAATAATTATCATTATCATATATATTAAGTACACCCCCCACAAGTATCCTTTACATGCATCATGTACTCGTACTTGAAGATACTCCATCAGCAGAGTATCTTTCCTTGCGTGGGTGTGTGTGTGTGTGTGTCTGCTATATACATATCCGTCCTCTGTTTGTCCGTCTGTCTCTCGTCCCTCGTCTTTAGTTGTAGTTTTAGTTTAAGTTTAGGTTTTAATTGTAATTTTAATCGGTATTAGTAGTGAATACTCTCGAATACTTCTCGTAGGGGCTGTGGCCCACGCCATTCCTCTGGGTGGCCCTCAGTAAAATGCCAGCCACTGTCTTGTGCTAATACTGTTCTGAGTTCGGTTGCTGGTTGCTGGTGGCTGGTGGCTCTGTTGGGGGCTGTGGCTGCGGCTTCTGCTGCGGTTCGAATGGGAAATCAATCAAGAGTAACGGACAATCGGACAAGCGGGTAGACGGACGGAGTAAATATATTCTCTGACTCCTCTCGCTACAGAAAACCATTGGGTCTTGGACAAAAAGCAAGCATTCCCTGCCTCGTTCTCTAATGTACTCGTGCTTTTGGCAGTTCTCTTGTGGCAGTTCTCTGGCTAGCACAATGTGTATGTAAATGCATTTTAGTGACAGTTTTCCTTTGATTAGAGGCGGGGCTCTCGAGCACACACCCTTTGGAGCTCTAATGTTCTTCTCACATCCTCTGGCGGGGGGCACTTGGTGCACCTGCCAAATCCCTTCCCGTTTTTCCTGTAGCTCATTATGCATTTTGATTGACATGCGTATCTCTGCGTATCTACAACACTAAATGTATCTGTATCTGTATCTGTATCTGCAGCAGTGGCTTTTGGCTCTAGGCTCTCTCTATCTCTATCTGTATATTTCTGTAGCTAAAAACCCAACACACAAATTGAGGGAAAGAGCTATCGCTGAGAGCTGTCCGTGGTCCGTAGTCCGTAGTCCGTGGTCCGTAGTCCGTGGTCCGTAGTCCATAGTCTGACCGCAAATTCGTAACATCAACAAAAATGAAATTAACATCAACATCAGCATCAAAGTCCAGCCCTTTACCATGTGCTGGTATCTCTAGCATCTATCTGGATGCCTCCATTCTCTGTATCTGTATGTGTGTGTGTATCTCTCTCTGTGTGTGTGTGTGTGTGTGTGTGTGCCTCCTTCCTGTCTAAGCTCGAAATTAAATTCCAATTTAATTGAGCTGCAAAAAAGAGCAGCCAGCAGCTAGCAGCAGCAGCAGCAGCCTCGCCTCCCGGAGGAGCAGGAGCCTGACTGATGGTCGAAACACACACACACACACACAGAGATACACACACACACACACACACAGATACACACACAGAGAAATGAACTCGTGTCCAGTGAGGCATGCAACACCCCGCCACTTGGCTCTTTCCCTCTTCGTTCTGCACAATATTAAATTGAAATTACGTATACGTGGTGTGGCACACACAAAAACAGGCACTCAACAGGAGGGCCCTTCCCCTCGGGACGAGAGGTGTTCCCTTAAATGCAGAATCTCCAAGAGTTGCCACTGCCACTGCCACTCGCTACAAATTACGGGAGAGAAAAATCAAAAGAAAGACAATAAACGGAAGGAACCAAAGCAGAAACGAAACCAAACGAAACTCGCACGAAAAGAAAGCACTGAAAAATGTTTATTTTTTAGGATTTTGCATTTCGGGGCTGATCGTCGTCGTCGTCGTCGTCGTCATTGTCGTCGTCATCGTCGTCGTGGATGTTGTTGTTGTCGTCACTGCTGCCACATTTCGATGCCGCTTCGTCTTCAGATTATTACGTCCGAGCGGCTGCCGCGGCGAGCAGCAGTCCCACAAGCACGGCCGCCCCGAGGGTGGCCGGAGCCAGTCCGGACCTGGAGCCCGCCGCTGCTGAGGGATGCGCCTGGGTCCGGCGATTGTAGGGGTTCTGCTGGTTCTGATTCTGGTACTGGGGCGGCGGCTTGTTGAACATGTTCGCGTTCGAGTGCTGGCTCTGGTAGCCCTGATAGTTGCTGCCGTAGGGGGCAAGGCCGCCGCCGCCGCCGCCGAGGATGCCCAGCGTCGAGCTGGGCAGCCCGACGCCGGCGCCGATGCCGACGTTGCCGCCGCCGTTGCCGCCGTTGGGGGGGCCCCCCGTGCCGGAGGGGCTGCCGCCGTAGAACGGTATCTGGCCGAATACGAAGGGTGGATTGTACGGGTTCACCGGCTGCAGGCCGTGCATCGGGTAGCCGGGATTGAGGACGCTACCTGGATGGTTGGGTTGGGGAAACTGTTGAAACGAGGGCGCTGACGTCGGGGAGTTGTAGGGGAAGATGGGCATGTTCGGTATGACTGGCATGTGGTGCTGGGCCCCAAAGACATAGTGCGGATCGACCACGCCCGTCGACGAGGCCCCCGCAGCCCCCTCTGCGTTTTGTCCGCCGCCGCCGCCGCCGCCGCCCCCTCCCCCGTTGCCCGAGTGGCCGCTGCCGCCACCGCCGCCGTTGTGCTGCATCTGCATCTGCATCTGCTGCTGCTGGTGGTGCTGCTGGTGGCCGTTGCCGTGGCCGTGGCCGCTCTGGTGGCCCTGGCCCGTGTAGGTGTTCAGCGTGGGGTTCGACGAGGCGGGTGCGAAGATGTTGTTCTCCGGCCCGGTGTTCAGGCTCGATCCTTTTCGAGGTGAGGCGAGGCGAGGCGGGGCGGGGCGGGACGAGGTGTTAGTTTCGTTAGTGGATGGCAGGCGGGCAGGCATGAGTGTGGGGCAGAGAGAGAGAGAGAGAGATAGATAGAGGGAGCATATGGGTTCAAGGGTTAGTTCTGCTCGAGGCACGAGGCATGCTGCATGCACGAGGATCCTGCTGTGAAATGAGGCGATGAATGAGTGAGCGAGCGAGCGAGTGATTGATTGATTGATTGATCGATCGATTGCCAAAAAGCTCTCATGTGTGTGTGTGTGTGTGTATGTGTGTGTGTGTAGAAAATGAAGCAAAATAAAACTCAAGAATTTTCCAAGTAAAATTTCCATTTTTCCGTTCCCGTTTCCGATATTTTGCAATTTTTATGTTTGTTTTTTTGTTGTTTTTTCCCGCCCCACAAAAGCAAAATGATAAACAGGAGAAGAGGGTGGGGGAGGGGGGGGGGGGGAGGGGCGGCCGGGTCAAAGCCCGAGGGCCAAGGGGTGGTTGGTTGGGTTGGGTGGCAAAATAATAAAATAAATACCTGACGGATTAACAGAGGGCGAGGCCTGGTTGCTGCCGGAGCTGGAGGTGGAGCCGGTGCGGCGCTTGCAGGTCGGATAGTTGCCGCAGTCCTTGCCGTCCCTCTGGTTGTAGCTGCACGAGTCGCTGGTGATGATGCACTCCTCGTTGGGCAGACATCCGATGTCCCCGCAGCCGCGTCCGTACTCTTCACGAGGCGCAGGCCGTTCGGGGGTTCGAGGTGGAGTTTTGTTACGGTTCAAACGGGGGTTGTGTGTGGGTGTGGGTGTGTGTGTGTGTGTGGAGATCGAGTCAAAATTATACGAAAAAGATACACAAATTATAAGATACGTCTTGAGAGGGGTTTCAGAGGTTCCAGAGGTTCTCGAGGCTCCAGAGGCTCCAGAGGCTCTGCGGTGCCTCTGGTTTCTGTTGCTCTTTGGATCGAATGATGGTTCAATGATGGGAGTGGGTGAATGAATGCATGAGATACACTTTTGGTATTGAAATTTGACAGATCCTCCGAAAAGAAACACACAAAAACACAAAAAAACGCCGCGCGATGCAAAGACAAACGCATTCGAGGGAACGGCTTGCCTCTGCATCGGCGCGGGGGCTGCAGCTGCCACATCGCGTGGTATACGTACTGGAGTATGCGTCCACGCCGTTGAGGACCATCAGGGCGAGGAGTGGGAGCCACAGCATCTTCCTCTGGCTCTGGCTCTGGCTCTGGCTCGTCGATGCCACGCCCATAGCTCGAAGATACAGATGTGGGCGAGACTGTGTGCTCTAGGAGTGCTCTGTGTTTGTCTCTGGGGTTTTCTCTGCTCTGGGCTCTGCTGCTCTGCAATCAAAAGAAACAGAAAGAGAAAGAGAAAGAAAGAAGGTCAATTTTGGGATACAGTGCACGGCACAAGCATAGGTACTACATGACTATTCCTTGAGCACACAAACGCATCCCCTGGAGCCTAGAGACCAGGGTGGGGTGGGGGGGAGACAACAGACAGCAGACATGTCCTCGTATTATTATTTATGTGTTGCAGCAGTCTCGCTCCCTCTCGGCGGGTCCCTTTTGGCACCAGCCAAGTTTATTTATCACATTGACAGCTGGCTCAAGTTCATTGCGGTTTATACTCGTATGCGTCACAGAGAGAGCCACACCAGAAGATACGCCAAGAGACACAGATACAGATACAGATACAGATACAGATACGAAAAGGGATACAAGGACAGACAGACAGCAGCGACCGACCAAATGGCGTCGCATTTGTTTGGACTCTTCTTTTTGGCCCGCCCACAAAAGTGCGGCAAATGTCAGACACCATCGAAAAGTTTACAAGAAATATGGAGAGACAGCGACAGCGACAGAGAGAGAGAGAGGGAGAGAGAGAGAGGAAGAGATTAGGTGAAGATGGACTTTGGACCCATGCGCCATGTGGCTGGCAAATACAATTCAACGATTGTTAATCCGTAACCCACTTGAATGCACTCCAATGTTTGCGCTGAGATCCGCTTCCCAATTGCTCGCTCATTCGAAATTGGGATTCCTTGCTGATCGGCCTCTGATCGCCTCCCCAACCACTGGCCTAGACAGGTGGACAGCCCTTTAGTCCTAGCCCCTGAGCCTGTGCGTGCACCACACGAGGAGGTAGCTCTGAATAAGCCAAAAACTACCACATAATCCCGATATATTTCCGTGGAATGGGGACAGTGGGAGGCTGGGTTGCTGAAAGGTGGATGGCGTGTTCTTGGGTACCGGATAAGCCCATGCATGAAGCCCAGCATGAAGCCACAGTATTTGAGAAATCACAGGACGGGATTGGATTGCGGGATTGACAGGCATACTCGTGCTTCGGAGCAGTCCTTTCCTCGTTCTCTCCAACAGATAAGATCAAGTGGAGAGTGAGCGAGAAAAGACCGAGTCAGTGCGGATCTGCAGGGACTCGGTCCGTTTTCTTCGAGCGATTCGAACGAAGCGAATGCCGAGCCCCACCGAACCGCACCGAACCGCACCGAATCGATTCGGTGGTCCGTCCTTGCAGGACTCCAGTACGTACAAAATACTGCGATAAAAACCAACACAACTTGGAGCTTTATTATCTTTCCATCGCTTGTCGTTCTCTCGGGCTGGGGCTGCGGTTCGAAGGCAGCCAATGAATCCGCTCTCATCCAATGAAACCTCCAGTCATGCCACCTGATGCGGCCACTCCATCATGGTCCCCACCCCGCCCCTCTGCAAAACGCCTTAATCAATTGCAGTGCACAACAAAAAAATAAAAAGAAGGAAGGGAAACCCAGAAAGGGAAGGATTTTATTCCGCATTTCGGTAGTCAAACAATTTCCAAGAACTTTTTCATAATTTCCTAGGCCATTGATCCACTCGAGTGCCTGTCCACAGGCCCTCACTCCCCCTGCCCCTGTGCCCCTTTCCTATTTGCATATTCAAATTTTTGCAAATGACTTGGCAACTTTTCCTGGGGAGAGGAGGGACTGGGGGGGGCGGGTGGAAAATGTTGCTTAGCCCCGAAGGAAATTAATTTAACAGAAATTGTGGAGTATTTTTTGTGTGCCTTTTTTTGGGTCTTTTGATTAATTTTGAATTGCGCTCAAAGATTTTTGTCATTCTTTTGCCGGAAATGGAGAAACGGGGGGAAACAGGGGGGGAAACGGGGGGGGAAGTGGCCGAAGCGGGGGAGAAGGGCAGGCAATGGAACAGCAAATGAAAACGCATAAATTCGTCCTGTCTATGATTTGTGGCCGGATTCATTTGTCCGCCGTCCAGGAAAAAGAAAAACGAGGCACACGAAATGGTGCCCCCCCCCCCACACACACACTCACACAGACAGGGTGGGGTGGCAGTGGGAGGTGGTTAAAGATTTATTCTGCGGCACATCGAAACATCGAAACATTGGAGAAGCAGTTCAATTTCAAGCACGAGAGAAAGCAGTGCGCACGGCATTGGCCCATTGGAGTGCAGTGCAGACGGTCGGGATCAATGCAGGCGACAAGCAGTCCAGCCAAGCAGTATCCCGCCCATTCAAGCAGCACGTGGAAGGGAAACTTGGCCTGCCAAGCAGTGAGCAGTGATCAGTGATCAGTGAGCAGTGATCAGTGGGAAAGAAAATATCACCGTCGCACTCATCCTTCTTCCTGCCCATCCGCCCCTCCGTCCGTCCATCTGCCCGCCCGTCGCCCTGTCGCTCTGTCGGTCCGTACATTTGTCTGCGCGCGGGCCACGTCCCGGCAGTTGCCCGTCGGCCGTCGGACGTCGGTCGGCGGAAGCCAAAAGTGGAAATGCATGATAAATGACACGAGGTTTGGGCCCCATTTTCCTCTTTCTCTTCTTTTTTTGCGCTCTCCTTCCAACTTTTTCATATGCCCCGTGCTGTGGGCGGTAGCTGGGGGGCGTGGGCCCATGAACGAACAACAAGGATTCTGGAGCAGAAGGGGAGAAGGAGAAAGCAGTGGAGAAAGTGAGTAGGAGTGGGGCAGGGTGGTCAATCCCCAGGGGCTGGCGGGGGGTCACAGCATGAAAATTGTGAAACGATGACGTCGTAAATGTTTTGTTGCAACATTTTTCTGTTGCGAGTGCAAAAAAAGCCAAAAAAAAAAACAAATAAGAAAATGGGAGAAGGCGCCCCCCAGCGCGAGGGAGAGCGCGAGGGAGAGCGCGAGGGAGAGCGAGAGGGAGAGGGAGAGGGAGAGGGAAGAAAGATGAAGTAGAAACACAGCAAAGCAAACTGTCCGCGAAACGGAAGCGCAAATAAAACAACTGCAAAGGAGGTGTTCATCCAAGCAGTGCAGAGGGTTGGGGGCTGGAGGGAGGAGGGAGGAGCTCCATGGATCCGTGCCACAACGAATGCACGGAATGCGCTTCAAAGCGAGGCAACTCTCGCCAAATTGATTAACCCATCGGCTGTCCTGCCTGGAGTGGCGGACTGCTTGCTTGCACTGCTTGCCCTCCACCTCGTTTCTTTGCTTGCGAAAGGGTATTCCTTTATTCGGTTACCACTCAAGGAAAACATCCCTTAATGGCCATTGTACCGCCTGTAGGGCGCAGCCACTGGCACGACCATCGAGCCTTAGATCCTCGCAACAGCCACAGTCCATGCGGGGTGTGTGTGTGTGTGTGTGTCCCAGCCGTAACTGACACCCGGATAACCACCGGAATGGCAGCGCAGAGCAGAGACCGACCCGAAAGCAAGCAGCGAGCGAGCGAGGCATAAACCGAAAATTCACACTTGGTTACTTCCTTCATGACTTTGGGATATTATTGTGGTTTATGTTAGTGCCTGTCACTAGTCTGCCCGCCGGCTGTCCAACCACGCCCCACTCTGCCCCACTCTGCCGCACTCTGCGCCCCTCCCCTGGGGAGAGGAGGAGCCTGCTGCCTTCCGTCTGCCGCTCGCGGGCCGGGCGTGCGGCTGTGATGTACGACTCCATGAAATGCGATATATTCATGTTAAATTATTTTGCACAGAGGCACAGAGAAACGCCTGGAGGAGGAGGCAAGTGACAAGTGACTGCAGAAGAGACACAGAGAGAGAGAGAAAGCGGGAGAGCGGGAGAACAAGAGAGAAATCAGAGAGCGAGAGTCACTGACTTGCTGTCCCCCCCCCCCCCCCTCCCCCTAGAGAGCCTGGAGCCGGGGGGCGGAGGGGCCTGGGGGGCAGGAGGCGATGGACGAGTGCAAAAGTTTGGCGCCAGTTTCGAAATTGCAATTGCAATTGCAATTGAACAAACAATTAAAACTTTTAAATATTGTGACAGCATTTTTCCAGTTAATTGCACAAGCGAGCGAGCGAGCAGCAGCTGCAGGACTCTGCCCCGCACCCCCCCTCCACCCCCCTCCACACCACTTGAAGCCCCATTCATTCATTCATTCATTCATTCCAATTCATTTCGAAAAACTTGTCCCTCCGGCAGGTCAGGGCGGGGCGGGGCGGGGCAGGCGGTTTGCCCTTTTGGCATTCCATTCCCGAATAGAGGTGCAAAAAAAAACAAACAAAGAAACTACCTTTTGCCCCCCTCCATTCCGTTTCCGTGCACTGCGGAAAACGGGGGAAAGTGTGGCCCGAGAGGCGATCCTCCAAAGGGACTCTTCGTTCGCTCAGTGTCTGTGCGGCAGCTGCCGCCGTTGCACCGAAACTGACAAACTGACAAACTGACAGCCATTTGTCATTAGCTGCGGGGGCGTTGCACGAGGCAGGCTTGCCCCAAAAAACGGCTGGGATCGGCTTTAATTAGCGAGCGTTTTGCTGATTTTTCAAATTTATTTCGGGGCTGCCGCCGCACATTTCTGACAACATTTCTGGCTTATTAAATTCCTGGCTCGTTGGGGGCGGGCTGTGGGGCATGGGGGCATGGGGGCATGGGGGGGGGCCTAAAAGGTACGCCAGCAAAAATGTCAATTTTCGGCGCGGGGGCGGGCGAGGGCCGTAGTGCCGGAAGGAAGGAAGGAAGGACGAGCGACTGAGCAGGGCAGAGCAGAGCGGGGGAGAGGAAAGTCTTTTTGTAAGGCAGTTAATTAAAAACTTCACATAAAGAGCGCCAGGGCATGGACGTGGGGGCCATGTGGGGGCCATGTGGGGGCCATGTGGGGGTCATGTGTGCAGCGCGCGCGATGAAAATGTGACAAAAGGCCCCTCGGCTCCTGTTTTCCCCAGTGCCTCTGTGCCTCTGTGCCTCTGTAGCGCCCCTCGATG